TGCTTTTCGTATTGGCAGCGGGGACAGATTTTCTCAGTGGTCACTCTATATGTATAAACTACTGTAGAGCAGTGGTTCATAGTCCTGGTCTGTACCACTGTCCTGCAATGCTTTAAGTGTCATATTGCTGCCACACATCGGAGATGGAGGGGAATGGTCAACACAGCACTTAATGGCCACTGAGAAATTAATGCAATCAAGGACAGATTTAGGAAAAATTTGGGCCCCTAGGCAAGAACAGGCATGGGGCCCTCCGAATTGAGAAGACAACACATAAAACGGACCCTAATACAGACAGAAATGTTAATAGAATATACATACATGATTTGTTCAACCTTTTTTTCCTCTCTTCTTATCCCTTTTCTTGTTGTTATCCCCTTTATGCTTTGTTTTGTCCCTTTTTATTTTCATATTGGCAATGTGCTCAGTTGACTTTTCATGCTGTCTAAAACGGAATGAAAGATTTTCCAATCACTAAGCCCATTCTAACTCAGCTGATTGCTCCTTCCTGTGTTTCCAAAAAGGCGACAGCAAAAGTAAATAACAAAGTCTTTATTTTCACTGTACAAGCCATGATTGGCTTATCTGTTCTCCACTTTTCATTTGAATGAAATAATAGCTACATGAATCATGACGGCACACAAGAGAGAGGGGAGCAAGAGGTGGGTTATAAAGCTATTTGTTCAGAAGAGCATCGTTCAGTGCTTTTATATGTTGTCACCAAAGCCTCCAGTACCAGAAAAAAGACGTTAGATTTGGTGCTAGGAGTTTTCTGAAAGAAAAGTGCTAACAGTTTACTACTGTCTGTTTGTACCATTCACCAAAGGGGTTGGGGGTAGGGAATTCTGATGAAATTTTAACAAAAGGATTTCTATTAAAAACATAATAAGTACTAGCTGTATTAACCATACACGTAAAATAAGTTTTATGGGGCCCCCTAGGAACGTGGGGCCCAAGGCAACTGCCTTATTCTGCCTAATGGTAAATCCGCCCCTGCAAGCAGTCACAAACAAAGCAGAGCAGTGGTACATGAGGACAAGAACCATTTATCTATTAGAGGAGTTCCCAACCCTGGTCCTCAGGCTCCTCTGCTTTGCATGTTTACTGGTTGGTCAATTGAGTTTCTCGCCAAAGCAAAGTGTTAGGTTTCTGTTTTCTTTGATGTTTCTTTGATGTTTTTACTTTCTCTTTGTTTTTTAGTTTTTAATGGTTTAATTCTTAGTTTATTGTGTTCTTTGGTTTTTTTCTCTGTTACTGTTCGAGTCTTGGTTCTTTTTTATTTTCTTTTTAGTGTTCAGTTTTGCTTTGCTCCTTGATTTCTGGTGTTAGTGGTTTTATTTTTATTTTGCTGTGTTCTCTAGTTTATTCCTAGTTACTGTTTCAGTCTTGGTTTTGTTATGTTTTCTTTTGAGTGTTTAGTTTTACTTTTCTCCATGTTTTTTAGTCTTAGTGGTTTAATTATTATTTTGTTGTATTTTCTAATTATTGTCAGTCTTCCAGGTTTTTCATTTGTTGCCCTCTGCTGCCCTCCTTTTTCTCTAGCTCCTGTTTTGTTTTTTTATTTCATGTTTTGAATTTTGGACTCCTGGTTTCTTGTTTGGACTTTGTTTTCATTTTTAGATTTTGGATTCTTGGTTGTCTGTTTGTTTGGACTTAGTTTTTTCAGTGACTCTTCATAAAATCAACCCTTAATTCACCTCTGCCTGCCTGCCTCTGCTTTTGGGTCCTCAACCCACAAACAAATTGTGACACAAAGTTAGACTGTTATAGCTTTACTTAAACTAGATTTTATTTTTTTATTAATGTTTTTGGAGCACAACAGTCTGTAAGTTCTATATTTAACCTGCAGGTGAAACAGATTTAAGGTGTGCTCTGGTCTCCCCAAATATCGTTTCAAGTATTATACCTTGGACTTGCTCTGGTTTTGAAGCATAATCCAACAGTTCTCCAAAAATGCTGATGTATCTTTGACATAATTTAAAAAAATATATATTTCTGAATGCTCTGCTTCAAATTTATTTCTTCCTCAAAGAAAAAAACAAGACATGTTAGTTCATCACTATATATGTTATAACTTTGATTACTGGGTGGTGCGAGCACACAGGAGTCACATGCTGTCACAGAGGCACACATTCACTGGCAAGAATTACATAATTCAGGGTCTCAATTACATTACCCCTCTCAGCATGCCAACTGACAAGTTTATGAGGAAATCAATAGCAAAGCTGGAGGCACTAGGGCTTGGCTCTGAAGTTTATAGACTAACACAGACCTGAAAAAAAGACTTTCAGGTGCAGATTAATTGTTTTTGTTTTTCATAGGATCTTTATCCTTTTCCTTCTAAAAATACTGCCCTCTATATATACACTATATTGCCAAAAGTATTTGCTCACCCATCCAAATTATTGGAATCAGGTGTTCCAATCACTTCCATGGCCACAGGTGTATAAATTCAAGCACCTAGGCATGCAGACTGTTTTTACAAACATTTGTGAAAGAATGGGTCGCTCTCAGGAGCTCAGTGAATTCCAGCGTGGAACTGTGATAGGATGCCACCTGTGCAACAAATCCAGTCGTGAAATTTCCTCGCTCCTAAATATTCCACAGTCAACTGTCAGCTGTATTATAAGAAAATGGAAGTGTTTGGGAACGACAGCAACTCAGCCACGAAGTGGTAGGCCACGTAAACTGACGGAGCGGGGTCAGCGGATGCTGACGCGCATAGTGCGAAGAGGTCGCCAACTTTCTGCAGAGTCAATCACTACAGACCTCCAAACTTCATGTGGCCTTCAGATTAGCTCAAGAACAGTGCGCAGAGAGCTTCATGGAATGAGTTTCCATGGTCGAGCAGCTGCATCCAAGCCATACATCACCAAGTGCAATGCAAAGCGTCGGATGCGGTGGTGTAAAGCACGCCGCCACTGGACTCTAGAGCAGTGGAGACGCGTTCTCTGGAGTGACGAATCGCGCTTCTCCATCTGGCAATCTGATGGACGGGTCTGGGTTTGGCGGTTGCCAGGAGAACGGTACTTGTCTGACTGCATTGTGCCAAGTGTAAAGTTTGGTGGAGGGGGGATTATGGTGTGGGGTTGTTTTTCAGGAGCTGGGCTTGGCCCCTTAGTTCCAGTGAAAGGAACTCTGAATGCTTCAGCATACCAAGACATTTTGGACAATTCCATGCTCCCAACTTTGTGGGAACAGTTTGGAGCTGGCCCCTTCCTCTTCCAACATGACTGTGCACCAGTGCACAAAGCAAGGTCCATAAAGACATGGATGACAGAGTCTGGTGTGGATGAACTTGACTGGCCTGCACAGAGTCCTGACCTCAACCCGATAGAACACCTTTGGGATGAATTAGAGCGGAGACTGAGAGCCAGGCCTTCTCGTCCAACATCAGTGTGCGACCTCACAAATGCGCTTCTGGAAGAATGGTCAAAAATTCCCATAAACACACTCCTAAACCTTGTGGACAGCCTTCCCAGAAGAGTTGAAGCTGTTCTAGCTGCAAAGGGTGGACCGACGTCATATTGAACCCTATGGATTAGGAACGGGATGTCACTTAAGCTCATATGTGAGTCAAGGCAGGTGAGCAAATACTTTTGGCAATATAGTGTACATGTACTGTCTAAAATGTAGACATATTCACAGATATAAATATATTTGTTGGCAATTTTGGTTAAGATCTAAGAAAATATATATATATATTTTTTTTTTTTATTATTTTGCACTCAGATAATCTAGCAATAAATAAATCCAATGTTTTAACTGTTATGCACTGATAGGAAAAAAATCTGGGAAATAGTTTCAATATAACAATTACTCTAACTGTTACAAAAACTGTTTCTTAATGGGAATTTATTTCCCTCCATCTGTCTAAATGCATCCAAAACAAAAGTAAATGGACCTTACTCAAATTTGGGCTATCCAGTGTGAAATGATATAATTTAAGGATATAGAGATATTTTCCCAGAGTGCTAATAGTACATTAAAATAAAATACTAGCCCATATGATTCAATAATTAATTTATTGCATTTCCACAAAATGGAATCGTTGCAGCACTTAAATACATACCCTGCTCTCTCATCACAGCACCTATAAGTGCAAACCGTCCATCCATATTTGTAACTAAAGCTGCTTCCCAGTGACCTATGCAGACCTGGAGGCCACCAGGTGCTCCTCCAGGCAGAGTGTGCTGGCGGGGCTTCAGAGGGCGGCGCTGCCCGACAGGTGACTGAACGCAGGAGCGGGGATTCCACTAGATTAATAATCACAAAGCGCCTAATAGAGCCATTATAAGTAATTAACTCAACAGCAGAGTCCCTGCTACCCGGGGCATGTGTGCAGAATGTGCGTGCGTTCGCAATCCGAGCACAGCTGAGACTTTGACAGATGAAAGCTGTTGCTGTTTGTTGGAGACAGAAATACCTATTTGTGCATTGTGTGTGGCTGCTTGAATTGTCCAGGGTACACGTGGTACACGTTTTTTTTTTTTTTTTTGGAGAGATACGGTGAGCTTCAGCTTTGTCAGACCCCTTCTGTAACTTGCATGCACGAAACAAAGACAAAACGGCTCGCAAAATATAAATACCATCTGTCGAGGAAAAAGGGGCATTAGGTTAAAATGGCAGTCTGATTAAAAATGCATCAGTCAAGACATGCATGACACGCAACAACAGCCATGAGTGCAAAACCACGACTTCCACAACGCACCTTTCCCTCTCTGGCCTAAGGTTTGCTTTTATTTATTTTTATTGCCCTCATCCCGTAAAAGGGCGCACTTAAAGAAAGGCAGCGTCTCTCTCCAGATTGGGATTGATCCGCCTTCGCATCAATTACTTATCCTGTCCTGATAATCAAACCGCCGCCCCGGAAAGCTTCGGGACAAAGCACGAAGATGTAGCACTTGACGAGCATCAGATGAATCTGCTGGGTTTTAGACGCCGAATCGAGAAACCGCATCCTGAGCCGGATGAAGGACCAAACGACGGAGAGGACCCACCTGTCATGTCCTTGGTCATATTGACAGAACCAAAGGCTGAGATCCCTTTAGAAGCCATGTCTGCTCCTCTCTGTACTGCCACCCTCTTCTTCTCTCCTCCACCTCCTATACGCAGCACGTCTCTCTCTCTCTCTCTCTCTCTCTCTCTCTCACTCTCTCCCTCTCTTTGTCTCTGTCTCTCTCTCTCAGCAGTGGACAGCGAGGATGTCCTCTCTTCCAGGCATTCCAGCAGAGCATCCGACTGGCCGAGCCGCTTCCTGAAACAGAACCTGATGAATATGGATGTACGAAAAAGGGAACGTGGAGGGAGGAATACTGTGATGAGGAGGAGGAGGAGGCGGGGATCACTGAGCCATGAGGATGCTGCTGGAGTTGCCTCACATACTCTGGATCAAAGTGGGACATTTTAATTAAATGAAGAGACAATGTGAATATGAAGGCTTCATTTGGACATTCAAAAGCAAAACATGTTCATAATGGTTTACTCCGACAGGAGAAGCAAATTTGTGTGGATTGCCTTGCACACTGTTAAAAGTCATACTCTCAATTAGTTATCATAACGTTTTTCTATAAATTACTTCCAATTAACATAATGAGTTTTGTAATTTCAACTTAATTTTCTGAGTTACTGGCATTTCAACTCGAGGATGTGAGTCAGTTCAGTGAAACATAAATTTAAATGTCTGAACATAACTTGACAATCTGAGTTTGAAAAAAGGTAACCGGATCTTATAAAAACTGATCACCGCTGGCAATATTAATGCGAGATCCAAATAGTGCCGGAAATTCGCTCTTTATCTGATAAGGGACTAAATATGATGTAAGATTTTGTCAGACTTTATAAAGTTATCCATCCCAGTTAGAACTGCATATTAAATGAAGAAGAGGAACACCACCTGACCACATTAAGGACGTCGAAAGCGAAGTCGTGGATGAATACCATTTTTCAAAGACCTCAGTACAAAAGGCGTTCAAATTCTGCGGGACATTTTTTGGAAATACGAAGCGAGCTGGAGTCATAGAAATAAGGTAAGATTCATTTGTCTTTTTTTTGATAATGCCACCCATTTTTAAAATATGTTAAGAGCTAAAGGTTTTCTGTTACATGTTTAAACACAGTACATAAAACAACAGCTTGCTAATTGTCGAGGGCAGGAGTTAGTTAATGCAGTTGAGCCTAGCTAAACGCAGTATGCTACTCGGTTGTGCTTATGAACTTTTCTTAAGAGAAAATGCAAGCAGCTACCACGATTTTGGTATTGTACACTCCCTCAGAAACACATATGTGGTGCTTGGTCAAAGTTTTGCATTGACGTGCTGACTGCAGGTGAGTTAGCGGCTTCGGGAAAGGCTGTGCGTCTGTATTTAGTCGTGTTTCTTGTCAGTAACCCGTGTCCTTTGTTTAATGTGTTGGCGGGCACCTGTGTCCCGTTTCTGGTTGCCGGTCTTGTGCGAAATTCTGTTTCCCCGTGAAAATCTGTTCCCGCTTTGTCGGGAGCGCGCATTGCGGCCAGAGGGGCGGATCTGCCCGTTCTCAAGGCGCTCCTGATTATTTTTCGGTAAAAACAGCTCATATAATCATCTCAACTTTGTATCATCCATTTTAATCGCTTGCTCTTTTTAAAAAATTGTAAAATAATTACATTAATGAGGTCCTCTTACGCTGTTTTGTGTTGTTTTTTAAACGCAAAGAGAATCGGTATTTCTCCAACTTTTGTCCCTTCAGCCTGACAGAAATAAACGTCAGTCACCGAACACAACAACCCGTAGTGTATTTTTAATTTTTCATTGCTGTTATAAGAGGATGGAAACTGACTGATAGCAGGGCACACAGATTAAGACGTCCTGCGAAGATGAGAAGAATTTCTGGTTAATCACCTTCTAATGTAAAATATGACAGATTACTGGATTAAGGACATTTATAGTATACCACATCACACATATCAATTTTAGAGAAATTGGAAACAGTTGCTCTTTATTTCCCAAAGATATGGGAGGAGAAGAGGAGATAATGGATGTTTCAGCTTACTGAAATAATCTGTTCCCCCTCCATAACAGGGGAAGAAATTAATTTACCTGCAATTCTTTAACTGTGCTTATTCCTCTCACCACCAAGAACAAATCCTGTGGATTTGGTCATATTTACTGGTTATTTGCAAAAATTAAAGCGGGGGGAACCATATATTTCAGCTGCCTGAAATAATCTGTTCCCCCTCCATAACAGGGGAAGAAATTAATTTACCTGCAAGTCTTTAACTGTGCTTATTCCTCTCACCACCAAGAACAAATCCTGTGGATTTGGTCATATTTACTGGTTATATGCAAAAATTAAAGGGGGGGGGGGAACAGATTATTTCAGCTGCCTGAAATAATCCGCAGGATTTGTTCTTGGTGGTGAGAGGAATAAGCACAGTTAAAGACTTGCAGGTAAATTAATTTCTTCCCCTGTTATGGAGGGGGAACAGATTATTTCAGGCAGCTGAAATATATGGTTCCCCCCCTTTAATTTTTGCAGATCTTTGAATTTCAAAGATTTGCCTTGCCCCACAATGCTGTTACTGATTATCTTAAATGTTAAAATACTTTTTTGTTTTGTTTTTTCATAGATTTATTTTAAGCTTATTGTTATATTGAGTAACAAGTTAAGTTAATTGATAAAGTAAAATTTTTTTTTTTACTGTCAAAGTGCAGCCCCCATTTATTTAGTGATGATTCCTTTAAATTGTAAAACCTTGTGTTATCATTAATCCAATATTTTGTCTCGTCTCCTCATGAATGTAGTGTCTTGTCACTGTACCAGAGGCTCTTATTCTTAACGTGCAAATTTTTCTATTTTTCAGGTCTAAGTTGTCTACAATGCTGCTGCGTGTCATAGTTTCAGAAAGTGAAATCAGGCGTCTTTCAATTGAAGACATCCCCTCAAGTGTTGAGGAACTGTACCAGGTGTTACGAACCAACCTTGCCTTAAGAGGAGGATTCATTTTGCAGTTTGAGGATCCTGATTTCAATAATCAGTTGTGCAACCTAACGGACATCAAAGACCTTCCTGTTGACCGTGCAACTTTGAAAGTATTGTTCACAGCTGATGACTCCACGGATTCTACACTGGACACTGGAAGCCTCTCTTCTCCAAGTAGTGCAGATTTTGTTAAATGGCCTGACTCCTTCCCGATTCCAAAGTTTTCCCATGATGTTGAGCTGCAACTGAAAGAAGCTAATTGTAGATATGCTAAGGATGGATCTGTGATGGTGATTTCTAAAACTTTGAAGACTAATATCCTTGACACACTTGCAGACTGTATGTCAAAGATTACTGCTTATCCTGACAGGCAACACTATGAAAATGTGGCCAAAACACTGGTGGAAAGGCATCCCTGTCTGCGAGACCCAGGGTCAGAAAAGGGATGGTACTCATGGTTTCACAGTCTGAAATTCAAATGGGAAACTACAGGCATAAATTAAGCTCAGCAGGATGCCCTGAGGTAGTCATAAACAAACGAAAATCTGGAAGTTCAAAAGGGGAAACTGTCAAAAAGTCAAAGAAGGGGGAGGTGAACTACTGTCCTGATCCACCTGAAGGACAGAGTCCTGAAAACATGGAGGTGAAGCGCAAGATAATGGAGGCTGAAATGCAGAAGAAAGACCCAAATCATCAGCTGATTGAGGATTTGATGGTTTCTACATTTTCTCAGCGTAGGAAAGACATTGTAGGAGATCAACCACACATCACAGAGCTCATGTCCCGATGGCCTGCTCTGTTCCATGAGAGACAGGTAATCGCACATCTGAATTAGTTTCACCAAGAGATTTAGTGATTTAATACTGAGTTAACTGTGTCCTGATGAGTTTTATATTCTATCACCTCAGATTAGGGCAGAATTTACAAGAATCGTCACCACAGACCTTCTGAAATCTTTTGTTGACGGACTTGATGGCCTGGTTCTGAGACTGCTGGAGGTCTACAAGGCAGCAACCAAATCTGGGAAGAAGCAGCCACTCAAAGACATTTTGGACTGCCTTGCAAAAGATGTAAGCAGAACTGAAGATGGCTAGAAAACTAGGCATAATTTGTTATTTTTGTTAAAATATATTCATCTTACTGCATGTCTTATCTCTTACAGGACACAAATGAAAGGAGAAGGGCTGCTGCTCTGCTTGGTTTGCCACGCTACATATCTGGGGAAGATCCATCAACTGTCATCAGGATGTGTGATGTAAGACTAACAAATGTTATTACAAAAACTGTTTACATATTTAATTATTCCTCTTTCTTGATATCATTTCTTAAAAGTCTTTTTGTAGCATTAGTGTTTGCAAAAACTTATTTTTAGTCCTTAAGAGACATTACTTCCTGTTTACTACAGCCATGCATAACATCAAATTCTGATGTAATTACTTTGTCTATCATGATTGATTTTGCTCAAAGCCACTTGATGGAAACGTGCCTGATTTGCATTTTCCTTAATTTCTTTTGACATTTTAAGAATTTGATGATTAAAAAAAATACATTAGAATGGAAACATTTCTAGTGTCCTACATTTTTAGAATAATTTCAGCGCTTCACAATGGGGGTTTTTAATCTGCCATACACTGTGCTCATGTGCATGAAAATACAAGTTCTGTGGATGAAAAAAGTTTGTCAAAAAGGAGGACTACCTGATGACAAAGTAAAGTGCTGAAAATATGTTGAATATGTACACATAAACAGGCTTTTTTTTCAGGTTGGACTTATTTTCAATGTCTAATTCTTCTGGATGTTTGCCTCATCCACAACAGTGGCCTGTTTCATTGCCATTATGCTCTATGCTTTGTCAAACTGGGAGTGTGTCAGGTTATTCTCTGACTGAACAGAAGTGCATCATACAACCCCACAAGTGTCAAAACATGCAGATTGTTAAACCTCACAATAGCATAAAAACTTGCAGTTTAAAAATAACTGAGTATTTACATTCTTTACTTACACACAAATGTCATTATTTCTTTTCTATTTTTAAGGCTCATGCTGATATTCTGGATGATGTCATGAAGGGGATGCAGGTCGGTCTTCTGATTGCCTGTGAAGGTAGTGAACAGGGGGCCATCCCACACGAGGTCTTCGACGTGGCAGTTGTGGTGGAGGAGACCATTGTGCTTCACAATATTAAAGATGTGACAGTTGGCTTTGCTATGCTTATGGGTGTCATCTACTGTATCAATCTCAAGTATCCAAATGACATGAAGTATTCGTTCGAGTTTCTTCAGAGAGTGGTGATGAAGATCAGTCCAGACCAGGCCTCAGCTCGAGTACATGGTTTGA